GCTTCTACTCTTGCTCTTTTACAATCTTTTTACCAAAAAGCAGTCCCCTCAGAACAAAACCCAATTTCTTAGCAAGGCCTCGGGAGACTGGCTACCTCTCCATCTTCCTCTACTCCTCTCCCCTCCCCCACAACTTCCTCTGCTTCAATAACACTGTCTGTCTCTGCAATGGGTCAAGGTGCGTACTATCTCTGGGACTTTGTACTTGATCCTCTTTGTTCAAATTAGGGTAACAAGATAAAAGAATGCTCAGCTACATTTGAATTCGAGTAAAAACATTTTTGAGCATAAACATATCTCAAATACCTCATACCCAGAAGAATGGTCTAATTCACAGGTGTACAGTAAGCACTAATTTGATGGGATGGAAAATTAGCACACAGATAAGACCCATTAACATCTTAATGATATATTTTGTCAAAGAAATTTCCTATTAAGGTAAAGAAAAACACTATCTCTGGCTCTGATTCCATTGTGTTAAATTTTTTTGCTTAGTCGCATTTCCTGTGTGTGATGAGGTCTGTTTGAGTCTGGGAGGGGGAGGTTTATATTAGTTGATTCACACTAAAAGGTCTGTCTTCTTCAGTTTCCTGTCATGTTTTCTGCATGGGCAGCCATGTATACCATGCCTTGAAATTAAGAGATAGATTCTAAAAACATTCTAAGTTGCAAATACATTGATGTGAGAGAAACCTTAGCATTTTTTTCTGTATTAAGGATAGATCAAAATCCCATGAACACTGATTAACCGGCTCATAGTCTGAGTTTTAAGGATTCTTTGTTTCAAAAAATTCTTAATTAAACACATCAACTGAGACTTCCTTTTTCCCGAGGTTTTCTTTTTAAGACCATGTATACTAGTGGCTAAAATATCCTCAATTTTCTCTTGTTAAACAGGTATTGCTAAACTCTTAAATCTGCCTTTGTTTCCCAAACCAGAATAACTAGGGGTAACTAATTGTACATAGTAATAGCTCAATAATTTGTAATTTATTTTCTGAATTATAGTCATTATATTCAAAAGGCAAATCAATCACTGGTGAAGACAACCCTCCAAATAATGGCTAACTTTGGAATTTAAATAGGTCTGTAGTCAAAGCACCTACAGCAGCTTCAAAGAAAATGTACTTTTAAAAATTATTTAGGCAGCTGGGTACTACACAGTAAGTCTTTTAATAGGAATAAGTTGTCTAGCAAATAATTTGCTCTCCTACCACATTAATCCATGAAGTAGGTAGTATATTTGTAGGTATACACACATTTAAGTAGTTGAACATACACACATCTGGATATTCATTTTTCAGGTACCCAATAATGTGCTTTTATAAATGAGGTTTGCATAAAAGCATGAACTTTCTCAATGCCACATATTATTGGCTTTACTTCTTTGATAAACTTTAGCTTTTTCTTTAGTAAACTTTTGTGTTTTAATGAAGTCCTCATAGCTGGTTATCTATCATTGATACCCTTCTTAGATTCCATAGGATACAAGGGTTTTGGCTTTAGACAGTCTTTCTTGAAAGGCTCAGAGATCTGTGAGCAGAATCTCACCCACCACAAGTTCCTAGTTTACAGCTAGACTAGCACTGAAGTTTAGACTTTCACCTTTATTGGTCTTCAGTGTCAGGAACTGCCAATTAACCTCAGTATTTTTGGGTACTGTTTACATTAATTTTTTCAACTTTGGATTGTTTCAGAGAAAAATGATACTTCTTTTGATGTTATCATAGCAACACTCCAATTGCATAAACCAGAGTCACTGTTCCATACTGATAACTATGTTTTTAAAGACTCAACACAAGTCTTATTAATGTAAAGTATATGCCATCTACATCATCTTCTCAAGACTACTCATTACATATTCCTCAAGGACATAGTAGCAGGGAATCCCAGATGTGTTCTTTTCATCTTTCAAAAATTATTTCATTAAAATGTACTGATCCCAGCCAGCTGAATCCACAGTGATATTTATTTTCTTGGTAAGTTTATAGTTAGTTATGGTGAGAAAGAAAAATTCACAATCACGTTTTTGAGGGGACAGTCTTAGATGAAAAAAATGCTTACCTACAGGTTTTAACATAAAGGTAAATAGGGAAGTGATCTATATTTTTGTGTTATAATTAGCTGCCTGTATATCTTACCGAAAAATTCTATGGAGAGGAGTGAATATTTATACTATTCCTTACCTTTTTTTCTTAGCCTTACATTTTAGTTTGCTCATTCCTATCATGATAAGTATAAAAAAATAGAACATAGAAAATATAATTTTTACTATAGTTTTCATATGTAAATGGTACAATCACCTGGGTAGGGATCAAGTACAACATGACTTCAAATAGCTACCTCGGTATCAGTTTTAAAAATAGGGCGAGGGGATCATTTAATTTTGGTCTTTTAATGATCCAAAGCAGCTAGCTCTCTTTTCACTTGGAATCTTGTGCCATGAAAACCATTATTTTATCATCCCAGGAAAAAGGTAGTTGTTTTCTGAGACTCGCGCTGCTACCCTACTTTGCTGCCCCTCTGATGAGCCCCTCCATTCACAGTAATGGCCATATCTCCATCTAGTGGTCCCTAGTCAATGAATACCTGGACAGCAATGAAGAAAACACAGTAAAAGTTGCTCCAGTAACACTAATCACGATGATTCCAGAGCATCAGAAAAGAAACTGCAAAACCGTAAATGAATCCCTGACCACAAGCTCAGGCCCTAAAACCTCTACTCAGTCAGTATTAATGATAGAATTCAGAAATTGGCCAAAGGTAATAAGGGATCATTTTAGCCTAGATACTATCAATATTATGGTAGTAAAAATATAAAAAGTTGATTAAGTCATTTGTTTTTAAAAAAAGAAAAAACTGAATTACTGATTTTGAAAATAATGTTGGATGAAACTGAAATGGCTCATTCATGTTATTCATGTTATGTTAGCATCTTTTGAAAATAGAGATGACCAGCTCTAATAATTGTCCTTAGGCTATTTCTCCTCATGAAGCATGTATAATTTTTCCCACACAGATTTAATCTTTCTATAAAACCTTAAAAGAAAATACTGATTTTTAAATAAACAGGAAAAGGATATGCTTGCTTTAGGATTAGAAACTTAAGCAATATTTGCATTCAGCTATTTACAAAACAATAGAAGTACCGGGATTTTAATAACCCGGTTTCAGGATACTTATTATAGTGGATTTAGGGATATGGATTATTTATTAAAATTTCAAGCCAAACACACACAAAAAGAAAAATTAGAGAAAGTAACTGACCATCCACACCACATGAAAACTTGCAGTAAAATGAAGAAAGGAGCTGACGTCATGGTACAGGCATGACTCGTTGTGCACATAAGTCGATCCTATTAATAATGGGCAAAGTAGCAAGTACAGGAAAAGGAAAGAAGACATACGAGCTGAGATTTCATGCAGTTTGCTGGCAGTTAGCAGTTTATGTGAGCCTCCATCCGGAGCAGATGCACAGTGACCATTGCAAAATAAGCATTACCAAAATATTTCACTGCTAAAGAAACACAAGACATTATTAGCACAGTACACTACTGAGCAAGAGTTGTACTTTCACACACACTCCGATGTAGAATTCGCAAGCTCTTAGTCCAATCTTTCCAGGGCCTTGAGGAAGACCATCTCCTGGGCTGAAAATATTTCGGGTAACAGGGCTTTTGAGGTGATCTTTAAAGTTCAGCTAAGTGAGTTTAATCTCAGTCTTTGGTGACAAAGAGTTGATGAATGAAGTTTCCCTAATGAGCAACACTCTCCTTGCGCCCACATTCAACATTCTTTGGGGAATGATTTGACATGGGCAAAGCTCCTGAAAATCTAGCAGATGGAACAACACAAGTCCTCAGATCTGGATTTTTAAGTCTAACCGGATAAAATGGAAAAAAAACCCAACAAAACAAAACAATTAGGGTCAACTTGGAATCACTTTCTCTATCAAAGAGAAGCGACCAATAGTCCGGGCAGAGATAACTGGGATTTACTGTTACATATCTTGCTTTTTAAGCCTTACTCCTCATCATTGATTTATATTATCTAATTGCATATTATGGATCTGTGGAAATGCCTAATTTTTTGCGGGGGACAAAGGTGGCTGTGTGTGTATTTGAGGAAATAAGTACAGAGTAGATAAGTCTACTCTAAATAAATTACAACCTCTATAAATGCACATGAATCAAGAGGAGAGCTGACATTTTTTTTTTTGAGAATAAACAATGCATAGGATAATGCTCCTTGGAGTCTACAAGCTACTCCCTGCAAAGGCCCACCATGAACAATCAGAATCGGGGAAAATTACTTTTAAAATTAGTTTTTAAGCAGGGATTATGGTGTGGCCTTCATATTTGACAATATAGTTTCTTAATAATTAGAACCATACAGCTGACTGTATGCATTGTATGTCAGAATAGTGTTTGTCAGAGGAAGAGCACTGACCTATAGGGAAGCAGTGGTCATCCTGACATCAGATACAATAATGATGTTTTGTGTAATTTTATCAACTTAACCCTTTGTAACTGACCTGGTCTAATATCATGGAAAGTGAAAATACAAATCTGTGATAGGTTCAGAAAGCATGTTAAAAAAAAATGATAAAAAAGGACAAGAGCTGTTTCACAGGTTTTTAAATACACTAAAAGAAAGAGTAAAACTAATAAAAATACCTCTTGTATCTTCAAGAATAAATAAAGGGAGGCAACTCATATCATAAATAACACTGACTGTTAATTACTATTGATGAGAAAGTGTTTAAAATAGCAAGTTGATTGGAATTGCGTTTGAAAGTACAATTTCCGTGCAAAGGACAGATAGAAGAAGCAACTGTGAAGCTTAGGCTAACCATGAACAATACTGAAATGAAAAATCTATCGACCGGCAAGTACACCATGTTAATGAGAACTACTACGATTATGTTTGAGTGAGGTAAAACTGTAATCTGTCTGACCACTGACTTCCAGTATGTTAATACAATAAACGTTTGGTCTTACCAAGACATTGTTATCAAAGCAGACATCAGGCCCTTTTCGGTATCTGGGTTGCTTAACCATATCACAAGGATCTGGACCATCAGCTGAAGACACTTGTTAAGGAATATGAAGTTTCTTTTTCTTTCCACACAATTAAAAAAAAAGAGACACCTAGACCATTAGTCTAGTCCAACACAACTAGTTCAAGTGCTTGGGGATTTAAGGGAGTAAACTTCCAGAAATTTTCTTTCGTCAATTTTTACTCTGTATAGGATGCCCTTGGGCAAGTACTGAACAGGTAATTGTAAAATATAAGTAGATGAAATGAAAAAATGCCACACAGTACATATAAAACAGCCCAAGGGAGAAATGGGTGTCTACGATGTAGCAAGACAGAAATATAAGCTAATTGCTAACAGTGGACCTCAAACAGGTGGGACTAATTTTCTTTTTCCCCCAGAAACAACATGGGTAAATGCTACAGAGAACAGGCACGCTGTAGAATCTGCTGTCTACAATGCTTTACTAGTCATTTAGCATATTTATAACCAGAAGCAGTTTTGCTGTTACTGCCACCGCAGCTGGTGCCCAGGACAGAACTGCCATTCTTTTTTAAGGTTGAATAATATTCCACTGTAGGTATACATCACATTGAACTCCATTTTTAACCACCGAGTGTTGACAGCTTTGCAGCCTACACCAGCCCCGGCTAGCAAAAGCAAAAACCCAGCACCACTCCCTAACCACCAGAGAACCCCAAACCAGTTCCCCCTCCGGGCTCTTTCAAGCCATTTCCAGATCTACTTGGAAACTTGCACTGTCTCCTCCACAAAGCCTCATTATAGGAGCAGGAAACCTTTCATATTCTACTGGTACCCGGGTAGCATCATCGGTCTACACATTCAAACCAAATTTTGTGTGAGGAGTTCATTCTGCCCATGTGGGGTAATCATGGCACTCCGAGTGTTTTTCTCTTGGAGCATACACAACGTGACGAGGTTAAAAATATGTAACTGGAATATGGCAGTTGCTTCCAAGCATCTCTGACGCCAAAGGATACAAGTCTGCTCTGCCTGTGTGAGCAGTCGTGTGTCACAGGGACAAGTCCCTTTGCTCTCAACCATAATGAATATTAAGTTGGTGTTCATAAGCTTTTCTACATGAAAGATTCTGTAAAATATTTTTAAAAATCACAGAAAATGAACATTTTCTTTTGGGGAGAAAAAAAAACAAATTACATATTTAAATGAAAGCCAACATCTGACATCTTGAGACAAATTATCACCATTATAAATAGTAAAACAAAATGAGAATATTTTTAGCAGAGAAACATGACCATGTTTTTATTCATTACCTCTCTGGAATACTAGAAAATTGCAACAGATTTTTAAGCGTTAGACCTCAATGCAAAATAAGCACTATTAAGTCGCTGTAACTCATAGAATCAGTTTTATTTGACATGCCTAAGCAACTGTATTTATTACTGAAAAACTACCTTAATCTATAGATAAAAAAAAGTAGAAGCCGAAAATGTCTAAGTATCTGGCCCAAGCTAAGGACAGAGTTAATCTAGATCAGTGCTGTTCAACAAACGTGGACATGGAAATGTTTTCTGCTTTGTCCAGTATGGTTAACAAGAGCCACCTGGGCTACTGAGCACCTGAAATGTGACTAGTGGGACTGAGACACAAAGTTTCATATTAGCTGTAATTAATAATAGCCTCTCAGGCTTGGTAACCACTAAACTGGACAACACAGATATAGACCGAATAAGGGCTTTCAATTCCATGCAGGGTTTTCTTCCCCCATGTCATAAGCTGCTTCTGCCGCCTTTAATGACAGATTACCATTTTTATCTTGGTTGCTAAAGAGTCATTTCTTTATGATTACACATCTTCCAAAAAAATGGAATTTTCTTTTTCTCCACTGAACTTGGGGCACAAGGATAAAGTGAATCAAAAACGACCATGACTGAATTTAGTATCGATTACAAAGCTATACAATTTAACTTAGCAATCTGTGCTTTAGAAATTATTACCAGATACCTATTAGCCAAAGGATTCTGAAATTTCGAGATAACCATACAGCAACAATTCTGTTTGCTAAACTTGATAGTCTGATATGTTAAGTTCTATACAAGACGGTATGATTTTTTTCTGAGTTGATGCCTGACTCTTCCCTTCCTATCCTCAACCTCCTCCTAGGACAGAGAGATTTGCTAAAGTAACTCACAAAGTCATACGGACCGTGTCTGTTTTAAAAATTCATGCTAGTTTCAGTTAACCGCTGCTGGAAAATCTCTCTCTGTTACAAGTGTCTGAATCCCCTAGCAACTCTCCCAGCCCTTTCACATGCTCAGATGACCTCACCTCCTACTTCCTCTTCTCTAGGTTAACCCTGCTTCTAGAATACAAACCTGCCCTCAGTCACTAAAACAAAGTGTCCCCAATCCGTGCCTCTCTGCTCCGTACTCAGGGATCCTGTGACATGGATGATCACTCTCTCTCAAAACTTTGAAAAGTCCCACCTTGCCTTTTTCTTCTAGCCCTCACAACCAAATTAAATTCTCAATCTCTTCCAAAAATTGCTCAAGATGGTTTATGCCTACTGATGACTAACATTAACCTTGATTTTTAGGAAGCGATATTTTCTCCTAGTTCTTCATCCCAATTTAAAAATGCATTCAATTGTAAATTTCAGTGAAGAGTATAAGTAAAACACGTCCCTCCCCAGATTATCTTTCTGTAAAACTATTTAGTAAATAAATGTAAATGGAAGTCATATATTCGGCTTAGGATGGCACAGAATTACTATAGTTCTTACTACAGTTCATATAATTCTATGACTTCAGAAAAATTGTTAGAGGGGTCCTTTTAGACAAAAATACAGTAAAATACAATAAAATTTTCCAGGTTCTGCCTTAAAGTAGGTGCAATTGTCTTGATCCTACTATGATAGTTGACAGAATTACAACTTACCCACTCAGGATGAATTCTTGAAAACATAAATTTTAAAAACCTACAGCGAAACTAAAGATCAGTTTCCAACTGCAAATAGTCCTGTCTCTCTCAGACTTGAACAAGTTACTTTTTGTAATGATTATAAAAGTGAATCTAGTTTCTCAGTGAACTAGGACTGTTCCTAAAAGGAAGAGAGCTTTACCTGGAGCAGTTCCCACAGTCTAATACACCACTGAATGATTTGCTGTCATTATCGAAAAAATACTGGGTTTGTTCGGTAATGCAACTCTGCTTTGACAGAGAAGCTGTGAAGTCCTCTTCTTCCATCTCAACTGTGGGGAAAAACAAACACACACACACACACACAGATCACCAGGAGCAGACACTATGGTCAGTGCCCAGAGCCTTCATTTCTCAGGGGAGTAAAGCAAATGTATAAGGGCAGGCACCCTGGGTTGCTTATTTATCGGTGGGTAAGGTAGTGGCAGCCCCTAACAGATGCCTAATAAATAGCATGAGAATAAATTCAATAAATAGGAGGCTACAAACTTGAGGCCAATAGGACAAAAAAAAAAAAAAAAATTGCTAACACATGAGGAAAGTTTTGACAGAAAGATTCCAAACTACCAATGGATGGGCTCTTTCATAGACACAAACACACATATTTTCTCACTCAGTTTGGTGAACTCAGCATATCCCAAAACAAAATTTTAATTATTATGACAATAGCTAAGTATTCACATACCTGCCTCAAGAAGCCGTGGAAAGGTCAAACTCAGGAGAAACTGCTGTAGAATAGACCTAAGTTGTAAATATGAATAATGAGTGCTCAAAATCTAAATAGTTCCTTCATAAACTACACAATAAAAACCTGAATAATTCTGCCTGTACACATTTCTTTTTCCTCTATTGAGACAAAATTGAGGAGCATTTTTATATAAGTATTTCTTAAATTTTACAAAACAGTGTAATTTTGTTTCTGTATGAGAAGTCATGAAGTCAGAAATATTCAGGACCATGTGAGAGATACTTAGGGGTGAGGAGGCCTAATAAGACAAGCCATGGTGGAGGAGTGGTAAATCTGAGTGTCAATCTCTCATAGCATAGATTTTACATTCAGGAGTGCTTCCTTAGTTTAGTTTTAAAACTCTGTGCTGGAGCAAAAGCAAAGATCAAAGAAAAACAACCTCAGGCCAGGGGTCTGTGAACTCTTTCCTTGACGATATAGAATGGATTTGTAAATACATAACATGACATTCATGACCTAAAATAAACCCATGATATCTAGGGAGTACAGCACATTTCAGTTTTATAGTAAATGACAATTGAGCCAATATTATAGAGTAGTATAGACATTATAGAATCATCTGGAATTGAATTTAGTTAAAAAAAAGTAGGGGAGAGGGTGTTGAGAAGGAGGTAGATTCTGGCCAGAAAATAAGATAAAGCCAATCATGTACTTCAAGATTACTATGAGATTTAGAAAGCCCGAGTCAACTAATATATAAATAAATACCAGTGTCACAATAGAAAGCACCATTTTGGGGTTTTTTTTTTCCCCCAGAAAAAATAGGATTTTTAATCTAAAATCTTTGTACCATTTTATGAAAGTAGTATATGAAAACAATCACCTAATCTTAGCTGGGAAAGCCTCACCATCAAAAGATTGTGAAAGATTAATCTACATGGAATCAGGCTGGGACGATATGGTAGGGAAAGGATACAAAAGATGGGGGAAAAAGGGAGGAGGTAAAGGAGGGGTGAGGGAGAGAAAGGATCGCAGACAGAAAAGGAGGTTTAGTTACTTGACCAGAGCCAAACACATTTGATCTTACAGACTTTCCACAGTGCCTCAGTTTAAATGTCTTATTTTCATAGGTGCTAGAGTATAAGTGAGGTGTTGAAGGAGGTAGGAAGGGCGAATGGGTAAAAAGGAAGAATTAGATCCATTTCAGCAACATGATGCCTCTTAACCTCTGCCTGAATGGGAAAGAGGTGAAGAGAGAAGTCATGATGTCTTGCATTTGATCCACGAAGACATCTAATTTGGACATTGAAGGCAACCGGTAGAAACTTTTTATAGGTGAATATACCTACAATTTAAAGAATTGAGTGTAAGGAGGAAAACACAAGAGAATTTCAATGGATCTGTAAAGAGGCTGGAGTTGGCAGGAGGAAACACTCTTTTCATATGAAAAGCTGAGTAACTGTAGCAGCTTTAAAATGGACCATGTCAAGATGATCAGATTGTGATTTTGGAAAAGAAAAAAAGGAGTTCCCCTTATAAGGATTCACATGTCACAAAATCGGCATTGCCATCAAATCCGTTACCATTTTACACCCCCTTTCTCATTACCAGTACAAATCGTGACTTACCAAGCAGCGGCAGTGGCCCACCAGCCAACGTGTAATATGTCTGCTATTGATGGCTAGAAAATAGAATTCAAGAGTCGTTATGTAAGTGGACGCTGAGTGTGCGCTGGAGAGGAACTGGGGTGGGAAGGTTACTGACCACGTACGCCGAGCGATGCCCTGCTCCTTGCTTGGGTGCAGCGCCGGGTTCACACACCGACTGATAATCGTAAGACTTGTTAAAAGCGTAAACCGATATGTTAACCAGGTGTCTCATCAAACTTGGATCGATCTCTCCAAAAAATCTTCCAATCTAGTACAGAAGGAAAAAATAATAAAGTTTCAAACTGACGCCATGTGTTAACACCCCAACCGTTGCCATGAAGAGCAAGCAGTGAGACAAACTGTCACCTAAAACTCCTCTGGAGCTGACAAACCAGAGCCGGGAAGCTGTACGCAATATTCCAAAAGAAGGGAAGTGAGATGAGGAGTTCTCACGGCTCAGGGGCTCTGTGTGATGTTTGCGGAAAGAATGGACACGGCTGACTGCCCCACGAATTCCTTGTGGGGAAGAGGAAAGTAGCATAACTGAGAGAAATGGGTGGGATTGGAAACAGAAGAGGACCCTAAAGGGGCAAACGCGAGGCTCATCCACGCCAGCCCATAAACATAGCCAGTTAAGAAAGGCTCATTGTTGGGGCGCCTGGGTGGCTCAGTCGTTAAGCGTCTGCCTTCGGCTCAGGTCATGATCTCAGGGTCCTGGGATCGAGTCCCTTATCAGGCTCCCCGGGGAGCCTGCTTCTCCCTCCCCCTCTGCTTGTCCGCGTGGTCTCTCTCAAATAAATAAAATTTTCAAAATAAATAAATAAGAAAATGCTCATTGTTGAGAGAGCTTTTCTTTTTAAAGAGAAGCCAGAAAGGTAGATTCAGAAATGAAGTAAGCTGGCAACTAATTCTAGTTTGCTTAAAATCCTGTGTGAACCAATTAGCTTATATGCTGCCAACATGTAAATTTGGGAACAGAAACTATATCAGTTCAAAGCAGTCATATATTGAATTGGATATTAATATTCAATGTGAACAAGAATAAAAAATTCCTATCATGTTAAAATTCTCAACTATATGTTGTAATGGTAACTGTTAGTACTAGAAAGGAAACTCCACTAAGAAATATTAGCAAATTGTATTTAGAATGTTTCATTAGTAGTTTAGCATTTTAAAATTTATTTTATGTCAGTACTCTAATAACGCATTTATTTCTATAATGGTTTGAAGGACTTTTGTAATATTGATCAGCGACATACACTTTGAAAACTATACTTTGTCCCACTCAAGTACCTACCTGGTTCGTATAATCATCATGATTTGCCATCAAAAGAAATCCACCATCGTCTAGAATCACACAATCCATTACCTAATGAAATAAAAAACACATTTTGAGGATGGATATCATTACTCCATCGTAGGTAGATGATGATAACAAAAACAGGAGAAAGCTTCAACTTAAACATAATCAGGAGATTTTGATGAAATAAATTAAGGACACATACAGATTCATATCAGACTCTCAGAGTTTCATATTCCCCAACCACACATTCAGTTAAAACTGTCAACTCACTATGAACAAATCCTGAGAACAAATCAGAAATAAACTTTTTGCCATTCCAAATGGCAATCTTGATGCCATTTGGTCATCTAAATGATCCAGGAAATTGGATAAACCAAAATATTTAATAAACACATACTTAATATTTTGATAAGACACATCTTTAAAAATGCATTGTGGGTCACCATGCTTCAGACTTTAAAAAAAAAAAAAAGAGGCAGCATGAGGATACTTAGGAGATTTAAAAGCAGAAAGCAAAACAAAAAATGCTCATCACAGAACTCAGTTCCCACCCAGTTTATATCATATTTAAATGCAGGAATCAGTTTAATAATTTTTATTGTATAAAATAACAAAAACATTGTTTTCAGAGTTGAGGACATATGCATTCCATTTTCCTAATGTGGAAGCAGCTTGCTAAAAACCTTGGCTCTGAAAACAGTCTTCATAGTCTATATTTACAAAGTCTATGTAAAATGGAGAAACTATAAAAAAATGGTTTGTAATTTTGCATGACTAGAAATGATAAGATCATATGAACCCACTCTTTGCCTTGGAAATATACACACACATATAAGAAGACTGGAAGAAAATAGTGGAATTCTTCCTTTTTATTCTTGGAATAATAGAGTGTCATTCTTAGAGAATGTTTAACTTTTGAAGACAGTTGACAAAGAAGTAGAAGTAACAGAAGACAATATAAAATCCAATCCATGTAAGTGGAATTTAATTAAAAAAAACATAATTCCAAAATTTAGCTCAAAAAATTTTCTCATCGCTATAAATATAGTGTGACCAAATACAGGTAAATTACAAAAGAAAAAGGAAGACTGCCCTTATAACCAGTAAAGGCCACATGGATTAAAACTGCCCATTCAGGGGCACCTGGGTGGCTCAGTTGGTTTTGTGTCTGACTCCTGATTTTGGCTCAGGTCATGAGGCTGAATACAACTGAGATTATAGAGAAGAGAGTCTATACAGAAACAGGCTTTCTAAAAGACCTTAACATGCGAGTATTTTTAAAAATAAGGTTAGGAATTATAAGCATATAACTCAAATTCTTATCTATAGGTTAGTTCAAGATTCCACAAAATAATAATTTTAGCGTTTATTTAAAAATTCCTGCATTTTTAGCATTAAAGTCTTAGCAATAGTAACACAAAAAATTACAGTTAAAAATTTTAAAGAGTTTTCTTACATCACTGTTCCTTTTGCAGTCACAAACTGGACCAGCACACTGAAAGACAAAATAATACAATTATTGCCACACATTTTTACTTTAAAAGAATGATTAAATGATATACTATTACCAGGTTTAAAATCTTAGAATAATCTATCAAGTCTAAAAGTAAGATTAAATGACAGTCTACCCATCATAAAAAAGTAATAGTTTTATCTTTATAAAATATCAAATAGCTATCTAGTATTTCAAACTATAACACTGAAATATTTTTCTTATTAACTAATTAAAAAAAATCTTTCCAAAAATAGTAATTTATAGTTCTGCTTCAATTTAGTAGCACTGAAAATTTATTTTGTCAATGTTTCTTTACTTTTGCTTTTCTCATTTGCATTTGACATGGAGTATAGCATAAACAGTTTTTAAAAAATTATCTTACCGGATCCCTGATTGATGTTTTGGTGAAATTCTCTATCCAAGAATTTACATCAATTTTAATTCCGACAACTGAAAAATGATGTAAGGAAAAATTGACACATTTAAAAAGTATGGCTGTGATTCTTAGTATCTATTTTTCCTCTCACATTTGAATATTCCTGGCAGGCAAATTTAAGTTTATTGAGATTAAATTAATTTCAGCTATACACTGAAAAGTTGATTTAAATTAATTTAAAAAGTTGCAATTTTAGTTAGGAGCCATATAATATTCGCTATATGGTAATTTAGCATTAAATTCGGGTTGAATCTCATGTTTATTACAGAGATCTATTTCTTGGAATTTTCATTAAGAAGTAATGCTAATGGCTCTTAAACTATTAAATAATTTTATTCATATATGCAACACAGTTTATTCGTTGGCCACAAGCTGGCCAATTAGCTAAAATACATAGTAAGCTAGAAAAAAAAAAACAGTGGTAGTGTCAGGAATAGCCTTTTCATAGGAGGTCACTCAAGTCGCTTGTTTTCAGAGGCTTCCCTAGCCCTGCCGATGCATGCACCAGGTGCTTAAGAAATGTATGTCCAGGATAGATAAGTGGGTGGGAGGGGGCAGTGAATGAGTCACTGGGAGAATGAGTGAATGAGTGAGTGAGTGAGTGAGTGAGCCACTGAATGAATGAGTTAGTAATGGAGTTAATAGTTGAACCAGTGAGGGGTAAAACTGCCTTCAGGAGCAGGAAGGCAATCCACCTTTTCAATCTGGCCTGAGGTATGCTTTCTTAAACATCCAAATAGTGAATCATACAATGAAAAAAAATTTCTACTTTATTGCACCCACTTATTCCAGCCTACTTCCAATTCCCATTGATGCTCAGTTTTATGATTTGTTTTGTATTCTGGCCTGTTTTAGCAAGAAAAGTCATTTTTCTATTTTATTGTAATTTTATTTAAAAAAAAAAAAAGATTCTTACCTAATTCATTTTATCAGGCACATAGTATAGATATGCCATAACTTATTTATCTTTTCCCCCAGTGATGAAAACTTAACTCTTCCTGTTTAACTTATTACAGATATTCACATCCTTGGCTGAATATCCTTTTGTGTACTTGAAAGTATCTTGTAGGACAGACTTAGGAAGTGGAAATGTTGGATCAATCCGGCATTTAGAACTTTGACTCCATAAGTTTGTGTCAGCATTGTATAAATATACACACTTTGAAAATCCCTCACCTCTATACAGTATCAACTTTATTATTCCCCAATCTCAGAGGTAACTATTTGTATTTTCTATTTTTAAAAATTTGCATGTCTGTCTTTATTTTGCTTTAGGCTTTCTGATGACCTTCCTGGTAAGTATTGTGAAATTTTACTATAAATATTAGGTCACATTTAATTTTGGTTATGTGTATGTATACAATATACATCCTTACCTGCAGGTTTAAGAAGTTTTCCTTGGATATATATTTCTACAGCTTTGCTTACCATAATGCCTGATTCATAAGCACCAGGTCCGCTTTCTAAAAAAAGAAAAACAACAGAAAAGGAAAACAGGCCTGTCTAGACACATCAAATAGTGAATTTCTCTTAATAGGTGAATAGTGTTTTGCTGAAGTATTCTAGAATAGAGGTAACAAGGAGGTGTGTAGTCCTCTCTTGCCTCTTTTTTCTCTAACTACCAGGCTCACTGGAGTGTCCATGAATTATTTTGAATGAACTGACTTGGGGGTGTGAATTATTCAGCTGGGCTTCATCTACCTTCACAACAAAATGGATGCATGCCAAATCTCTGCTTCATGACATTTGCTAAAATACTGGGGAGGCCGCTGAAGTGAAGTGGAAAGATTGTTCTTAGAACCCAAAATGGCCTTTGCATTTGAGAAGACCGAAGTTCCTGGACAAAACTCCAAAATTCTCTGAACTTCAGTTTCCCCTCTTGTGAACATGAGGATGAATAACACCTCCCCCGAGAGAGGCTTGGGGATTAAATTTGGAAGGTTTTGGGACAGAACCCAAGAAAATATTTTAAAATGTGGGCTATTGATAATTTTCATAAATAATACATTGAACTAAAACTGATTACCTGATGAATTACATTTTTTGAAGTCACTAAACATTTATCACCTATTTGCAGTTTGTGAAACAAAAGATTATCTACATGTGTTTCTATGTATTACACATGCCTGTAGATATGCTATCTCTTCATTACTGGCTGACTGTTTCCTGTGTAGGCATTTTACCTCCTCAACTAAATGAATGCTTTTGTCTTTCCAATGTCATGCATAGAGTATATACTAAATAAGGATTGTTCTGAGCAATTAACTTAAAATGCATGGTTTTGGCAGGGGGGGAGCGGGTAGGAACAATAATTCATTAAAAAAAAAAAAGGAAATTGAGAATGCTGAATTCCAAGTAATACTTACTGTTAAAGTAGGGAGCAGTGAAAACATAGTTATCATTATCGAGACTCCTTTTATAGAAGCTGTCCTCATATGTTTCTGGGTTTTCTTGCCAGTTTTCTCCAGCCCTAAGGAGGAAATGGCTCATCATTTTTATTCTCTAATCTGCCTGATAACCTACTTTGCCATGAATATTGTGAAATTTTACAGAAATGCCTACATCTCAGGTATGTCTAAGAAAGTCAGTGGTAATTGATGGTGTAAATGATACTCGTTAATAAGCAATATATCACCGCAGAATGATACTGAGAGTCAGAAAAAGCTCTTAGTTTTACTCTGCAGGTAATTATGTACAAGTCAGTTAATAGGTCAGTTAATAGTAATAAGCCTTCCCAGGCCGCTTTACAGACTGTTCTGGAGATAAGAGATAAGATCCATTGAAGAACAGTGAAAACAATGATGCGCTATGAACGTATTGCCAATAGACTATGACCATTATGTTCATTTAGGTTAGCTTGTGTCTAGAGACAAAAAATCTTTTAAATTTTGCAAAAAACATCCAAAATATCCAAAAGTATAGCATTTTATATTAGCTATAATCATATAGCATTTTTAAAGAAATAGGGGATTTTTTACTATTGTAAACAGGTCAGTGACTCCATTTTAATCTAAGAATCAGTTTCTCCACATAATGGCTTCCTTATCCAGTAATGTACACATCCTCAGAGTCGTCCTTTGTAATGTACTGATTTCTACAGACCTTATTTGAACTTACTCTTTGGGATAAACTCTGGTAATCCCTCCATCAGTCACAACAAACCGTGCTTTCACTCCCTTGCTAAAACAGAAGACAGAAGAAGGAAATTTTTTATTCCACTTACTCTCAGTAAGATAATAATTTAGGTGTTGACATAATAATAAATGAGCAATAATAAATAATAAATGAAATAAAATGAGTTCCTAAAATAAAGGAAGACAAAGTAAATATATCAATATATGTAAACTATGTTTTACTAGTGAAAATATCTGGGAAATAAAGGGAGGATTCTCTACGAAGACACTTCAGAGTAAGGAAGAATATAGCTGCATTTGGAATTAGCAGAGATGACAGAGGCAGCAGGTAGATCGTACATGTAGAGCCAAGAGTGAAAGTTAAGGGAAAGCTTGTGAAGAATGTGACAGTATTTGGTGTCATAAAAACAAAAGGCACAAGGTAAGAAGCAAGAGGAAGTAAAGTTTCAAGGACCAGCTTCTTCGGACTGGTCAGCTCGTCAGTGATTTTGGAATCCATGCCAGAGAGCTTCACCTTTATCCTGAAACTGGAAGTGATGCACCTGGAGAGTAAGACTGGCAGGGGTGAGTTCTATGGAGAACAGACGAGGGGCTCTGGGGAGAGGAATCAGAAGCCCTAAAGGCAGAAAGAGCAGTTGCTATCATTTCTTAGAAATGGGAAATTAGGAACGTGGGTGTGAAGAAGACAGGGCAACATTGTTAGGAGAAATATTTAGCATTTGGTGACTGACTGGAAATGGAGTAGGGACTGTAAATGAGAACCATAATTGGATTTCTCAATTTATTGACTGGGTGTATGGTGGTGTTATTAAAAGGTCAATCAAGCATTCACTGGAAGCCCCATTCTATTACAAACACTGAAACACAAACACACCTATTTAATGTGGTTTGTTCACACTGCAGTGTATAAGCGGAGAAAGCTAAGTAAGTGTGAATGCAAGTTCTCAACAATTGCAAGATGTTTTTCTCAGGAAATTGTTATTAAAGATAAATGATCAACTCTAAATTTATGAGGCCTATTTTCCAAATATTTCTCGGGGAAAAGCTAAACTGAAATGCAGAATATATATATATATATATACATATATATATATATATATTATTAATAAGAACAAATACTCACATGTTTTTCTGCTTACTCCAGTAATTTTGGACAAGTTCATTTGTAAAGCCTGCATCCAGCAAGACTCTATTAATCAAATCCGTGTTACCTAACCCAGAAAAAGGATAGCCTCAATTACACCCACATAGTTTCTCCATTAAGATAATAATGAAACAAATACATTCTCTATTTGTACAAGCAACTTAGAGTGGATAATATTTCTGTGAATTACAAAATATATCCAATACTAATTTTCTGCATGTTTTTTTAATATTGTTCATCTTACCTCCTATTTTTCAGGCTATGGCCAGAATTAATAGAAAAGCCAATTCTAAATGAAAATTATTTTGTAAACTTTAAACAATGAGGAAATAGCCTTCCTCTCTCCCTTTTTTTAAAAAATAGGTTAGTATGGTGATTCTAAATGATAATTTAATGGACAATTTTATATATAAATATAAAAGTACTTAATATGTATAGTTTTCTGTTTGTATGTTTTGGCCAAGGAACTGAATAATTTAACACAGACCAGCACTCTCCCAAGAAGGCTTTTGGAATCTGGGGGTAATGGTGAAAGACCACAGGCTTCAGGTTGTCATTTCTGGAATAACCAAAGAACATCTTAGCCCAAGTTCCTAGGTAATGGAGGGGCAGATGGCCATGACAAAGGGTCAATTAATAAACATTCTTGGAAAAACGTCACCTTTTCATCTCTCTTGGCTCCTCTGTTCCAAGCCCATGAAACTTTGAATAACCTCCAAGTATACTCTGAAACTTCACATTTTTGATAAAATTTCATTTTACTCAGGTAAGGAATATGGAGTCTTAAATATCTTATTACTACAAGAGGTGGGGAGTAGACTAGAAAACATTTTAGTTGATATTCAATATATCTTTCACCCAATTTTAAAGGATCAGCTTAATCCATATTTTAGACTTCATTTTAGGAACTATTTTTATTATAGCAGAAAATGAATCACTGTGAAAAACAGTCCATTTGAAAAGTGAAAGATATAATTTACTTGCCACAAATCCTTTTAGGTCAAAGAAATGAGACCATTATTCTAATTCATAATATAAATCAATGTTGCAAGTAATTTCATAATTGCATTACTTTAATTACGTTGTAATTTTAAAATATGCCCCCTGCCGCAAGCAATAAGTCAACAGGTTATCAGTATTGAGCTTTACCGTTTTACGCACATATAATCTCATTTTTATATTCCAAAACAATGGGGGATATGAAGAAGACAACTTATAGCAGAAACATTTAGGTAGGCTAATAAATTAACTTGAACAGTGAGAACTGTAATTTTACTGATGGATTAAATACTTCCATAAAGGCAAAATTAGAATAGCCTGAACCCCTTGAAAAGAAACTAGATTTCAATCACTGATACTTTTAGTTCTACACATTATTTGATAGCATGAGCTAAAATATGATTGAGGAAACTATAAATTTTACAGCTATTTTTTTAAAGATTTTATTTATTAGCGTGTGAACAAGCTGGGGGGAGGAGCAGAGGGAAAGGGGAAGCAGACTCCCCGCTGGGCAGGGAGCTGGCCACTACTGGCCACTCAGGGCTCTGGGGCTTGATTTACCCATGACTGATTTTCAGAGTAGCTAATTCTAATGCTAGTAGCTGCAGTGAGCGGTGCTAGGAAGTTCATTCTTCTTATGAGATAAATTTAAAATTGAGAGATGGCTTCAATTCACTTTTTATAACTGAGGATGTGCTTTAACTCTTCCTGATGGAAAGGAAAATGGTTTTAAAAAAGAAAAGCACAGGGGCACCTGGGTGGCTCAGTGGGTTAAGCATCTGACTTCGCCTCAGGTCATGATCCTGGGGTCCTGGGATGGAGCCTGCTTCTCCCTCTGCCCCTCCCCCCTGCTCGTGTTTTCTCTCTCTCAAATAAATCTTAAAAAAATAATAAAAGCACAGGAGAAGAAAGAGTGAGGAAGCAGGGAGGAGGAGGAAAGGACATAAAAGTCAGTTACCGTTACTTTTTTTTTTTCAAGTTATATTTACTAAGATAAATTGATAAAAATATGTTGTATGTTTTCCTCTATATAGCAAGAACAATGCAATGAAAAACCTTCAAAATATTGAACACTATATCTGAAACTAATGATGTACTTTAAGTTGGCTAATTGAATTTAAATAAAATAGAGGCTACAGAGTGTGTGTGTGTGTGTGTGTGTGTGTGTGTGTGTGTGTGTAATCAAAATTAAGTTTCTTAAATTTGAAAAGAGCCAAGGTAAGGATACTCTATTTACATTTAAACATTTGCAGGTATCTATTACCTGGCTTTGAAAATGTGATTTTCCTTCATAAGGAAATAAAAATTCTTTAATATATAAAAGGCCAAATTGTTATATTTTACCATTAAAAATTTACAACATAAATCAAGAAGCCTGCACACCAACACACTAATCAACCGAGTTGACCATGTTGGATACAGTAATGGTGACACTAAACAATTATTACAAATCGATCTATACTTACAGGATGGGTTGTTTGGCGTTTTTCTATCAATAAACTCATTGAAATTTAAAAGAAATTCAGTGTTGTTATCTGATATTTTAAGGTCATTGCAGTAATCTCTGAAAAAAAACATTTAAGACATTAGCTATGAAAATCACAACTTTAAAAAAAGCACACAGCCATCAGAGGAAGTGAAAACACTTTCTTTTACTACCTCTATGACTTTGCAGGCTGTTTAATTTCTTATTTCCATTTCCTCCTCTCTATAATGAAACAACACTTTGACAATAAGGAGTGAGTAGTGTGGATAATATCTATTAAGAACCTACCCTCTGGGCAACAGGTGCTCAATAAATGTTAGCTTTTGTTCTTAATGCACTATTTTCATTTTATGTTGGAGTTTCCATGTAGAAATTAACAGAGAAAATTTAAAATACTCACTACATACCAAGAATAAACCCATTCTATGGTAACATTTTTATGAGCAATTACTGTTTTAAAAAAATAACCTAGTGAAAAAAAGTGGCACTGATTTACCTATTTGCAAATCTCTTTAATACCTGGCTTAAGTATGCCTCTACATTCAATCAACTGCAAGATTCTATTTGGGCACATGAAAAAAATGTGTTCTCCTAAAGATATGCAGCTGGAAAAGACAATTTTTCTATACGCTTCTCCAGTGTTGTAGCTATTCTTCTTCCTTTTTTTAATAACATACCAAAACTTGATTACTGGTAATTTCTTGGTAGTTATAATACGGAATTTGAAACAAGGAACTTTTTGTACTGTTACACTAAAATTCAATGCATTATCTTACACTAAATCAATCTGATTTGTAACATCATGAATTGGTTATTTGGAAAATTTGCAGATCTGCCAAATGATGACACATTTCATTATAAGATTGAAAAATCATAATCATTAATATCATCACACTAGTCTCACCAGATAACTACTGGGAAACACTAAATACAAATTCGCCCCCAATTCTTATTTTGTGTGAAAGCACAGATTTTGTCATGAGCAAAAAACCCTGTTGTTTTCTTCAAAGTAGAAGCCTTACTTGATTTTTGAGAAAATGTTTATCAAATACCTAAGTCATTCTGTCAAAGAAAATTCTATTTCCTGAAAAAAGCACAAAGGGCACCTATTTCAGCTCTAAATTCAATCCCACAAGTGCTTTTCTTTGAGACAGCCGAGTTACTCTGGTATGCAGCAGAACTCCCATCTTCTCACTGAATATTAAAAGACATGTACTTGAGGGTAAAGCTTCAATGAAACTAGTAATTTTTACTGCTCGCATCAAGGATATTTTAAAGTGAGACTGGCTTTTCCCCTGGCAAGAAAGATTACAATAGCTACCAGGAGCCTTTAGTGTTACTGCCTGGATTCCTGCTAAGGTATCAGCTCCTCACAGCTTTTCTACTGTCCCTGCCAAGGTCGACATGAAGAAAATAAAAACATTTACTGCTGTTTTAGGAAAACAGCTTTGACCTGGTCAGTTCTCTGAAAGGGCCTCTGGAACCCATGGGTTTTGAGACCCCGACTTTGAGAACTGCTAACCTAAGTGTTTTGGAAATTGAGAATAAACAGAAAACAATATAAATGTAAGGTTGTCATTATACTAACTAGGTTAATGCAACAGATGGGATAATCAAATATTGAAGACAGATGTGCAATTGTGTAGTGAACATTTTCAGATGCAAGGCCATCACCTAAAAAGAAAGCCTCAGAGAGTAAAGAGAAGGAGAATGTCAGAACTTCAAAAACAAACCAACAACAACAACAACAAAACCCACAAAACTTCTCAGTTTGTAGAAAAATTTAGTTTTGAGGGTTTAGAAAGGTCGCATGATTTTTACTCATTCATTACTGACAGAGTTAAAATGGACTTCTTCCCACAATTAGCATTTAACTACAGGCTATCACATACTGTTCCTTTCTCCTTCTAACTCATCTTTGAAATGTCTTTTTCATTTCGGAGAAATAGCAAAATTATTCCATTTCTTAGACCTTTCATCCCTTTGCATACCTTTTAAAGGTAGAAACAATGCTCTATACATTTATATTTTACTCAGAAGTACTGTATATTCTTCTGAGATCTTGAAATAGCAAGGAAATTTCCTAATCTGTGAAATGGGATACTACTACTAATTTACTACAGAGTTCTCTTGAGCAATAAAAATAATCATTCATGTAAAAGATTTAACACATGTTAGTTGAATTCATTGGCTTGTCCCACAAGTTGTAACATTTCCCTTCTCTAGTATTTACTCCTTCCCTAAACACATGGGCAAATTCTACTCTTCCAGTCAGACCACAAAAATGGTTCATATGTTAATCCTTGCTGAACTGAATAGTCATTGCTTACAAACTGGGAACTGGAATTCAGATTTACATTTATCCTCTCTGAGTACTGGGACTTCTACCCTATTTTTCCACACTGTCTAACAGTAAAGCTCAGAAAGCCAGTTTGCTATTCAATAATTGGGAGAGACGAATGAAGTTGCCTAGAAAAAAAACACAGATCTGAGATGGAAGGAGAGTCTTATCAATATATCACATCTAATTTCAATCTCTTCTTAGACTGTTAATGAATCAACATGTTAACATTCTGTGGGATCTTGTTCTGCCTCTAATATTCTTTCTAGCTGAAACTGGTTTTAGCAGTTTTAAGATGCTCAGTTACTTTTATTGGAAAAAGTGGTAAGATTGTAGGTATTTTTAATAATGGGTTTTAAAATATTCTTTACCTATTTATAGATTCTACAGACACCATATGTATTTATTCAGCACCTACTGTGTGCCAGGCAATGGATGGGATGTTGGGTATTGAATGGTGAGTCAAACAGGTTGAGATGTCGCTTTACTGGGGAAAGTAAATGACATAAAATGGACCAGTGCTCTAGTCAGGGAAATACAGTATTCTATGAAGCCGTCAGCAAGGATGTCTAATGCAGTGAAAATGGGAAGGAAATTCCTAGATCAAGGAGCTTTGAAGTTGGGGTTTGGGACAGAGTGGGCTGTGTCTGAGTACAGTCCAAAATAGAAGAGAAAATTAGTGGATCGAAAGAGTTAAGGGCGGGGGGGAGCCCAGCACACATAGGAACCAAGAGAAGTTTAATGTGTTTGGAATTTAGAGCAGAGGTTGGCAAACTTTTTGTTCCAGGGCCAGATAATAAATGATTCAGATTCTATGGGCTATATAAGGTCTATGCCACAACTCATCAACTCTGCCTTTGTAGTGAAAGCAGCCACAGACAATACATCGCCAAACGAGTACGGCTGTGTTCTAATAAAGCTCTGTGTGAAAAAGGCAGGCTGCAGGCTATAATTTGCTGGCCCTGGATTTAAAGTATAAGGACCACACTGTAAACTGGGACCCAGTAAGGGCAGCTGAAAGCTATGATATAAGGCACAGAGTGTCACAAGACACTACTGAGCTATTGGTTCATACTTAGCAGAGGAGAAACATAATTTTGTTCACATTCTAGAAACTCTCTCCAGTTCTAGAAATTGAGACAAGACTGGGAAGTAAAGGGGGATTTGGGGAGGTAGGGACATCAAGTAAGAGGCAGCTGTAGTAGCTTAGGTCTGAGAAAGCACTGACCTGGATGAGAACAAAGGCAGCAGAGTTTGGCCAATATACTTGATACTCATAAAGTCTGTTTGGCAAGACTTGGTGATTGTGTAAAAGTTAGATTTAAAGGGAAGGGAGCAAAGACAAATGCTTAGGAGACACTGAGTTGAATCACACTGAAGAGATATTCCTGTTAGTTTTCCATAAACATGAATGTCTCCCACTGAAATATGTAGGTAGACAAAGTCTGGAAATATATTGCTTGATCCTATATTGTAATGTAATGTCAATAAATGACATGCCTCTTTTGTCTCTAGACATTATGGCCATCTTGTGGATTTGGAAGGCATCGCCTCAAACTATCGACAATGAATAGATGGGTGGTGTGTCTGTAGACACAGAGTAACAAGAGGCCCTAAGCTACACCCTCATGTAAGCCAACTGCAGAAGAAAAGAAAATCATGAAAGAGATTGAATGTGCAACCAAAGGAGGGAGGAAGAAAACCCAAACAGTGTGTCACCAAGGAAGAGGAGGCAAAGAATACTCCAGGAGAGTGGGATCAGCAGTATCAAACAATGAAGGAAATTCAAGCAGGAGAAGCTGCTGAGGGGCAAGGTCACTCCTGAAGCCAAGAATATGCTTTGTTAGCAGAGTTTGGTCAAAAAGATACATCTATTCCCTAGTTTCAAGAACTACCAAAAATTCAGACATCTTTGTGCTGAAAAAAAATTGGTCTGAGTTACTCTTTAATTTTGTGAGCTGTCTTTGGGTTCTTACAGTAATTTCTTTAAGAAGTATAAAATGTGAGAAATTAATAATACACCATTCTGAATCTTTTCAAGAGTTTAGCCTAGATTACTAGAATTATATTAATTTGATATTATTATATGTGTCTGTGACAGAGTGTAAATTAAGAACCAAGAAACGAAGAAAAACAAAGCTGGAGGCATCACAATTCTGAACTTCAAGTTACATTACAAAGCTGTAGTAATCAAAACAGTATGGTACTGGCAAGAAGAAAAACCAGACACATAGATCAACAGAACAGAAAACCCAGAAATGAACCCATGATTATATGGTCAATTAATCTTTGACAGAGCAGGAAAGAATATCCAATGGGAAAAAAATGGTCTCTTCAACAAATGGGAGTTGGGAAAACTGAATAGCAACGTGCAAAAGAATGAAACTGGACCACTTTCTTACACTAGACCCAACAATAAATTCAAAATGGATGTAAGACCTAAATGTGAGACTTGAAACCATGTCTCCTGAGGCAAGGGAAACAAAATAAAAAATAAACTATCGGGACTTCATCAAAATAAAGAGCTTCTGCACAATGAAGGAAAGAAGCACTCAACAAAACTAATAGGCAACCTATGGAATGGGAGATGATATTTGCAAATGACCTATCCAATACAGGGTTAGTATCCGAAATATATAAAGACTTATAAAACTCAACACCCCAAAATGAATAATCCAATTAAAAAATGGGCAGAAGACACGAGTAGACAGTTTTTCCAAAGAAGACATACAGATGGCCAAAAGACACATGGATAAATGCTCAAAATCAATTATCAGAGAAATGTTAATCAAAACTACAATGAGACATCACCTCATACCTGACAGAATGGTCAAAATCAAAAACACGAGAAAGAACAAATGTTGGCAAGGATGTGGAGAAAGGGGAACCCTCTTGCACTGTTGGTGGGAATGCAAACTGGTGCAGCCACTCTGGAAAACAGTATGGGGGTTCTTGAAAAACTTAAAAATATAGCTACCTTACAATACAGCGATCTCACTACTGGGTGTTTACCCAAAGAATACAAAAATACTAATTCAAAGAGACACATGCACCCTGATGTTTATAGCAGCATTATCCGTAACAGCCCAATTATGAAAACAGCCCAAGCATCCACTGACTGATGAATGGATAAAGATGTGGCATATACACACACGATAGAATATTACTCAGCCATAAAAAAGAATGAAATCTTGCCCTTTGCAACAACATGGATGGAGCTAGGGGGTAGTAGGATGCTAAGCAAAATAAGTCTGTTAGAGAAAGACAAATACTATGTAATTTCACTCGTATGTGGAATTTAAGAAACAAACAAAGGGGGGAAGAAAAAAGTGAGAGAGGCAAATCAAGAAACAGAGTCTTAACTACAGACAACAAAATGATGGTTACCAGAGGGGAGGTGGGTGTGGGGATGGGTGACATAGGTGATGGGCACCAGGCCTTGTACGGAAGTGGTGAAACACTATACTGTACACCTGAACCTAATATTACACGGTATACTAGCTGGAATTTAAATAAAAACTTATAAAGAAAAAAAAAACTAAGAAAAAATAAAAATAAAGAACACTCTTGATTACTGAGTATCAAATAATTACACAAAAATAGAGGTAGGGAGCAAGAGATATATTAGGGTTAGGGAAGGGGGATTATATGAGAAATAAAATTGGGGAAGAGAAAAAATATTAATCTTAAAAATTATATGAGAAAATGTCACTATATTAAGATGCTTTCCCAGAACACTGTTAGAACATTAAAAATAAATAAATTATGATGTTCAGACATTCTAGCCTTATGTCTACACATACACATATATCTGTAGATATCTCAGTATATCCCCCTGTATGTGTATATATACACACACATACATATAGACTATGTTTGCGTCTGTGTACTCACAAATGCACATACCCAATTCTTCACTAGTGATGGATACCACTGTTATTTCCAATAAGAGCAAGGTCTACATCTGTCTTATTCACTATTATCTGCCTGGAGTCAGAACATCGCTTGGCCTAGGGTAGTTGCTTACTGAGTGAATGAATGAATAGAATATGGTTTCAGCTTTAAAGTTACTGCTCCCTTTGGTTCCATAATTTGGCATGGGATTAACTCAGAGAACTGTTGACTGAAGGCTTACCTTTCCGTAAAAGCTATAAAAAAAATAAATAAATAAAACAAAACCAACCTTGGTGCTATGAATGTGTAGCCAGATTCTTCAAAATTATCCGGCTTCAGTGTTTCAGAATCTGCAAAGATAATGTTACAGGATTAGATAAGCCATCCAGAGGACGCATCCTGGGTTTCTATGATGATATGAAGGCATTAGAATGATAACCTAGTAAGAAAAAAATCAAAAGAGTACTTATATCCTATAAGGTCCTTAATAGTGCATAACAGAATTATAAAATCCATTTTAATTTCATAACAAAAATTAGACCAGTTCTATCAGAATAATGCTGTCTTAGAAGTTTCCCATTTACTAACCCTACCATAACCAAGGTATCTTTTGTATCAATGTTGCATCAGAGTGATTTCATTTAAAACTTCAACATAAAATTTTTATCAATATTATGGTAAAGAAAATGATTTTAATAAACTCATCAATGCCTTTAGTTAATTAGTAACATTCTTCATATTAGGTGTGAATTAATAGGTGGAAGGATAAAAGCACATGAGTATTTAAGCCTCAGAAAAAACCTAAATGTGAAATACATTGCATATGAAAACACAAGCATATTCTTTCCCCCATTTTTGCTGCTAAGGTTTGAGTGATCATGGAGGAAAATCTAGCAGATGAGAAGCACAGAGGATAATATCCAATAGGAATGGAAATATCAGTGGAAATGTCAAGTGCACTAAACAGAAAGAAATTGAGCAACAAGAAAATACTTGCCCTTCATTTTGCCCTTTTTGGCTGTGAAAATCCATCAGAAAGAGAAAGCAGGGAAACAAAAAAAAGAGGGTAAAGCAAAGGGGGTCACAAACAATATTTTATTCAATGACTTTCTTGAATAAAAATATTGTGCATAGATCAAAGGTATATTTATGTACAGCTGTAGTCTGGAAAAAAAAAAAAAGACATCTTTTTGAAGACTGGAAGGTATGTCCTGTCCGTTACTACTAGAAAACCCTCACTGTACTGTGGTGATTTCAAGGGTCTATTTTGCAAAGTGTTTAACGCAGGTGCAATGGTGACAATGTTAGCCTATATTCAGAAGCATTTACCAACCATCAAAGACCAACTAGCCATCCCCTCATTTATCAAGTGAAGAACTAGCTCATGCACAGTTGCTGGTTGTTAAAAAGACCATCATATCTATTAAGTGAAAGCATAAATATAAAAGCCTAAATTTAGCACAACGAGAACAAGGATTGCAGGGAGAAAAAAGAACTGACGGGAATGAAAGAAATTATAGTTTACCTAAAGTCAGATGTAAGAGGTAAATACACACACATGCGTGCTTTTTTTTTTTTTTCCTACTTTATCATAACAAAAAATTTAGGTTCTTAGTAATAGCTGATGTATTACAAAGGATATGATGGTCATTTTACTTTACTAAATCTAGTCACCCAAAACAAAGATCACTAATGACTTAAAATACACACTAATGTTAATAATTACTCCACATTCCAAATGATGCTTTTAAAAAAAAGAATCCATTTGAGTTACTGAAGACGTTAATAATTTGGATTATGAGAAGGAAGTTAATTGCCAAACAAAGCCAAAGACCAATGCAATTTAACTTATTCAAACAAAGTAGAAGATGTGGAGCACGATATTATTCTTGCCAAATGCAAAAAAAAAAAAAAAGAAAAGAAAAAGAAAAGTTAAAGCCTTATTAGCACAGTGCCATGAGTAGAGACCATGTGAAACATTTTGCACCAGCTAGCAGACCCTTAAAATGACAGCAACAGAGAGCACAGCACTGCAATGATTCTATGAGCACAAAGCGAGGCAGGGTAGGGTGGTGGGGATGCCAGTGAGACTGGGTACCTGCTCATATTCTATCCACGTAGAATATTTCTTGTTCCTTGCATGTTTGGAATGGGTTAGAATCATTGCTGCAGATTTGGTAGTAACACCTACTAAAATGTATAGGCCTTGGGCATTCTAAAATCTAGACAAATTTATACATCTGATACTAAGAGATAAATAGACTCTGGGGTCGCTTTCATAGTACTTACATCTGGCCTGAGTTATTGTCTCTTCTATTTTGGCTTTTATATAGTAAAAACTGTAGGTTGGTAATACCAAGGCCAAACTGCAATAGAAACAAGAGAAGCATAAACACAAATAACTTAAAAAAAAAAAAAAAAGACACATCCAGTTAATGGAAAATCTAAGGATCTTCCTCGTGGGAAAGAAGAAACATATTACTGTGACAGGAAAATGCATTCAGCAAATAAAGTACTTTATTCGGTCTTGCGATCCAGAATCTTCCAGTTCTCTACGTTGTAGGGAATCAGAAGACACACAAGGAAAATAAGCTACTAAATGTGCCCATGAATTAGCTGAGAAAGAAATGTCATGTGTACTCTATTTCCCGGGAAGTGTACTGAAATACTTTGAGTGTTGAAAAGACAGAGAATATTACGATTCTGTTTAAAGAAAATACTATACTGTACTAATTGGATACCCCTCCTTCATGAATTACACATCATGTTCAAGTACTCTGCAGCAAATGTACACTATTTAAAAAGTACAAATGTAAAGTATCATTATTTTTATGACAGTGCATAAAATCATCTGAAAAATACCTCCTTTGAGGGGTTAAATACCTCCTACCTTAAGACTTTAGTTTTGAGGCAAATTCCCTGGTGTCTGCTGGTAAGAAAATTCAGATGCACTAAGAAAGACTGTCTGCTCATCCTATTAGTTCTCATAGCATAAAGCAGTTTGGAGTATGTGAATATTATGCAGTTTGAAATAACACAACTGCTTATATGTAATTCTTCCACCCTTGAGATCGCTAATATATTTATAGTGTAGGACATAACTATTCCATATCCACATTTACGCTTGCAAATGACCTTCGCTATGCTTTAGTACCGACGGAAACTTACAAACTAATGGGTACAAAAAATGAGGGCAGAAGAAGATTCCCAGGGAACTAAGTATTTTCAAAAAGTGACACTTGATTAATGTGACCAAATGAGTCATTCGGCACTCATTTTTAATATTTAATCGGAAATTTCCCAGTGCACAGGCAAAGGTGTGTGTTTCTAGGCTTCTGAGTATTTCTACATATTTGCAGATCTTCTTTTAAATCACTCAAGTTTCATAGGCTTTTGAGAAGGGCACCCAAACTATAATCTCATTATTTACTTTTTTTTTAATTGGAAAATACAGAACAGGGGGAAAAAAAATAAAATTCCAGGTTTTCCTTCTTATGACTATATATGTTAAAAATTCACTCTACAAAGGGAAAAAAAAGCAAGGGTTGATTTCCTACAATTTAATTACGCAGTCAAGATAGCAAAATGAGTGGATGCTTGTTACCTCCAATTCCTACATCTTTCTCCTTCATTAAATAATTCATAGACTGTCCTTATGGGAAAAGGTCAGAGAAATAAAATGTTATGTAGATTTAATGAAAATCTCTTCGTTCATTTTATACGTAACTTCCTTTAAGTGGAGGCAGAGATTAAAATTAAAATAAGCACTGCAATTAGTCTGAAAGCAAAATGACCTTTCATGATTCACTTGCCATTTATAAAATGTAGAGTAGAATTACTGAGCATTTGAAGATTGTCTCCTACAAATTCCTCTCAAGGGAAATTAGGACATTTTTATTGCTCCATCAGCATTTATTGCTAAGAGAAACTTCTAATTAAACCCGATAACGTTGTATCATGTGGCTGCTAGAGTGTCATTCTCTAAACTTGGGTTACATCTCACGTACCATAAAAATAGTGTTGGAACGCATGAGGAACACAATGGAAGTTTTAAAATTGACATATCAAATATACATTTTATTGGCCTGCATGTCTCAGGTTGTTATTAAGAGCTATACTTCATTTTATAGAAAAATACAGTCACACTTAATTTACTTCCTTCTCAAGGCAATGGTTCTTTCTTCAACTTCTAGCAGATAAGATCTTTCCCAACATTTTGAGTCAATGATGTTGTCATATGCAGTTTGCCATCTCTCTCCATATAAAACCAACGGACCAAGGCTGCTTTATTTTCTCCTAGGGATTAAAGCCTAAGAAAGCCAGCGGGCACCAGGTGGACGGAAGAGACCATGCAATGTTTTTGTGACTCACATACACATGGGTAACTTAGTTAAATGGGATATAATATCCTTTTCAACTCAATCATGTCTCTATAAAATGAAATTCTTCCTGAAAAAAAAGAGCAGTTTATAAACATAATTAATTACTATAACTCAACTGTGATACCTGAATTACATCAAGGCTTACAAAGACAGAAATCACTAAATGAAATGTGGAACTTTGGTCATTAAGTCAAAACACGCCATTTCTTTTTCTTCTTCAACATAGATGTAATATTTTGCTCTACACTGTTATTTGTGGATTTATTTGTACAGTGATTCAGGGAAGTACTTATAATGAAAACAGACTGAATCTGGCCCTAAGTTGTACATTTGGGTAGGGAATATGTGAGGAAAACATGCCGAAGTGGGGAAGTTGGGGCTGTTCAGACACCAGTGACTATTTGGGGAGAGAGGGGGACACATGACAGGCACACTGGCTGGGAGAGAAATGTGAGATGAGAACATGTGACTTGGAATCCCAACTTAACTCGGAGGAAAATGGGAACAGAACGAAGGTTTATGAACAAGGAGTGACACACTCAGAACGGGGGTATTAATCTGGCCACATTTGGTCCCATCACCGGGTGTGTGAGGGAAAGGGGTCAAATGTAGGGGACATTTGCAAAACTTTTAGAACATTTTTAAGCAAGGTATGATGACAATTAAAAACTATGACTGCCATTATTGTTGACTCATTGTCAGGATTGAAGGGATCCAGTTTTGTCTACTTTAGAATTTGTTCATCTAAGAAAAAAGGTAAGGAACACTTTCCCACACAGTGAAGAGAAGATAGACTGAGGGTTCAAGTACCAAAAAACTCATCTATTGTCAATGCTATTTCAGTGCGGGCCATAGACCCGGCTCATCTGCAAACTCTCTATTACCAGCTCAGAACCAGTTAAATAGAGAAATTTGAGACCAAGCATTTAGAAAAATTTTCAATAATTTGGCAGACTAATTCTAAAGCTGTGAAATCTAATAATAAAAATTTTAAGCTTGCATTTTAAAATCTTTTTTAAGGGTGATTTAGTAAATAATTTTTGTTTTGTGTAAGTGTGGGTATGTCAAAAATAGTATGAGAAATAGTGATCTATGTGAACGTGCGAGTGATTGACAGTGAGCCAGAAAATGAAATCTTATAGGAATGAGAGGAAGATGATGTAAGATTCAGAGATGGGGATTTTAGAGAAGAGGAAGAGAGAATGAGTAACCAGAAGGAAATATTCCTATCAACCTCAGTATTATGAGCATGGGGGACGGAGGACCGCAGGGAAAGCTACTCAGAAGAATTAGACCAAGAAAGCGAAGGAAATGCTCAGCGAGTGAAGAATGGAGACTTTTCAAGGCACTACAGGGTATTAGTCCGTCCAGCTTTCCAAGGCCCTGCCCATTGGTGTGCTCAGGATATCACAGACTTGCCACTCATGGGGGAAAATTGTGTCAACTGAGCATTTTATATCAGATCATATTACGATGTGACAAGTGTTAAGTTAATCTTAAATATAAATAATGTAAATAATGCTACCTAAATATAAATAATGTAAACTGACAATTTAAATGAGGAAATTACTGGAAGTGATGACTACAAACTTTAGGGGGTTTGGTCAACATTTACTATTGCTAACATACATATGCAAAATGATCAAATGGACTTACATCACACAGATTTTCATTTCTAAATTTTATAGTCCTAGTTTTCCATCTTTTCCATTTTGAAAATCAGAGTGATAATTTTAGTACATTTTCACAATGGAAAGAATAACTTTTCTGTTTTAATTACAATGAAAACAGTTTCTGAAAATGCAAGGACTTAATATTTATCTACTGCAAAAACTACTAGAAATAGGCGAAAGACACTCAACAGAATACTCTTGTATACAATACACATTTAAATCTAATTAGTTACCTGTAATCTGTGCCATTCACAGGAGTCCATGTGTATGTCCTGTTTCCTTTGTCAATGTACCTCTATAAAAAAAGTTTGATATGGTTGTTACCATCTTATGAAATCTGTGTGAATTTATATGAAAAGCTGAACCCTAAAATCTGTTTATAAATTCTGTGGTCATTCAATACCCTCCTTCACAAATGTCTGATCTATTCTACATTTATTTGTTCTGTTATGGGTGGGATTTGTGTGCGTGTGTATCTGTGTGAGTAAAGCAAAATTTTAGGACAAAAATAAATAGCTGCATCATGACTTTTAAAGACTTTCAAGTGCAAAACCATTTTCTAAAAAATAAATTTTAATAATAACACAGGACCAGGATATATTAGATAAGCCTCAGATATTTCCATATACTAGAGTGTGTTTATGAGAAATTGGCAATATCAGGACGTCAACACACTGTTTCTAGATCCAAATGTAAGGTTAGCATATTACTGTTCTTATTAACCCACTGTTATAGCATTTATCACAAGAGACTAATTACTTGGTACCACTGGAGGTCAGAAAAACAACTAAATCCACCAGGGAAAGGAAGTACAGAGCTCAATAGCTTGATGAAAACAGAATCCTTCATATGTCACTACTAAATACTAGTAAATAAATTATCATTCTTCCTCCATTAGGTATAGTCATGGCATATATGCATCTTCACAATTTTTTAGTTCGCTCCAGATTTATCATCCTCACAGAACAATAATTTTCACTGAAATGTTACTTGGTTTTAGGCAGTACACTAACCACTTTATAATCATTGTTTAATTTAATCAACTCCTGGACAAAATACATTCTTTAATTTACTGATGAAATAAAAATACATAAATCTTCTGAAAAATTTAAGTTGGCAGGATGAAGGAAAATGTATGATGCCAAATTTATTTTATAACAACCATACATGTTGCCTTATATGTCAAATATTCCTCTGGTTTACTCAACGTGTGTGGAGGATGGAGGGAGGGAGAACAGGAATTGGTGAGGAGATTTTTGCACTAGTAAAATTCTTAAAAAAGAAATACTGTTCATGTATTTTATACCACTCATAAAAAAACGGCAAATTAGTGTCGTTCAGCAAGTTAAAAAATAGTATATCAGATTAAGAAAATAAACATACAAGATAATGTTTTCTTTCAATATTATTAATAAGAAAAGTCTACAGGGGGTTAGATTATTAAGAAAAGTCTACATATTGGTTAGAGGAATTTACAGCAAACTGAAGGAGGAAAACATCAATGTGACTTAATACAAACAAAATTAATTTATAAGTTGAGGAAAGAATGTGTAGGTCAAAGAGTTCTTGGCAGAACAACATGGAAAAGTTGGTAGAGCTGCTGAATGGTTTACATCTTTCCTCAAGGAGTGAGCGGGTAAAGAGCATGGCTAAAATCTAAGTAAAGAGAACTGAAGTTTCAACAATAGACTGAAATTGATATACACACACACACACACACACACACACACACACACACACACACACACACAC